CAGATAAATTCTTCAAAAAAAAAATATCTGTCGATGACATGTTGTGCTCAAGAAGCTCGATAACAATTCTAAGAACGCCGCGTGCTAATGACAGCTCAAGCCGTTCGACACAAGTAAGGCGAACGCACTTCGGACAGCCGGACACGACACGACCCTATGGAATGGTGGAACTGGACGGTGGTTCAGCTTCTTCTCGGTCTACTGACCTACCCATAAGTTCCGGCATATCATATATATTCGCGAGCGGAATGGTGCAGCGGCGAGTGGCGCACCCACGCATGGTCACGGGTTCGAATCCCGGAACGAGGTCCACCTAATTATAAGCTAATCGAGCCTTCCATCTCCAAGGGCCGCCTAATTAGTGGCAGACCTGTCTGAGAGGATAAAACACTGGCATGTACACCGGCTGGCCACCGCAAGTCACATACGCATTCAATACGCCACTACGATTCTGAATTGAAGTCGATGTGGGGGCGCATCCTTCAGACGGAGTCGATCAACACCTAAAAACTTAATCCTTTTATTATACCTGCAAGGTCTAGTCCACTTTCTTAGCGTACTCCCCTACCAGAACAGGTGAACGGACACGACATGAGTAGATAAAAGAAGCCTCGGAAGAAGATGGGTTGGTTATGAAGGCATAAATTTGTCTCGTACGTGGAAGAAGGCTATTGCGACAATGTGTAAATGGCCCAACTCTCGAAAGTAGGTTTCATACACCTCGAAAAACTACCGAAATGAGATGAGGTGAAGTGTGCGATCCGACACAGTGTTTGTCGTCGTCGTGACCCTGCTACTGACCCCGTTTTTACGTCTTGCGGCTCACTTAGACGTGATCGACACACAAATACACACACAAGAATACAAGGACATTGAATTCTATATTCAGGATAGGAAGACGTGACCTCTGATGACCCTTACCGTACTTCTAAGTTCTTCAATCAATCGAAGAATACACCCTGACCCAGCCAAAAGTTCCATGTAGAAGACAGACCTCAGACGTCATTATACCATACCAACCAAAATCATTTCTAGAGAGGAAACTCCCACAAATCGGTCATTATAGAGTCATTTTGGAAGTACATTTTCATCCTTCTACAGTTAGCAAGATAGCAGCAGCAGTTATGGAGGTATTCAGGGACCAACAATACTCTTGCCATCGAGAAAAGAAAAGGCTAAACTGATGTTATTATGGAAGAAGTTAAGCAGTTTCAAGTTCGACGTTCTAAGCCCACCCACTTATCACAACACACCATTTCCCATGTGTTTATGGCTTAATTTTAGGAACATAAGAGGAAAATTTTGTAAGAGGAGTGAATGCATGAAGAAGCTCCCAAATACGAAAGGCGGCAAGGACTGAAGAAATTCTACGAAAAGATGGTTCCTCTACCATGTAATAATACAGTATTCATAATTTGCACCTACCCGATCTATCGTTGAGGCTTTTTTACTTAAAATATCTTTAGAGGCACCACTTAGGAAAGAAAACCCAAACTTCACGATTTTCTTAGCAAGCGACGCCATTCAAAAACAAATCAGACACCGACCGTAGCCGGCTATGATTCTTAACGTGTTGCAGTCTATTCAAATCGGCATCTTATTCAATCTTTTGTTCCGGTCTTTGTCCACCAGCAGTCAGTACAGTTCACTGGACACATTGATACATGTTACCATAATTGCTGTCGTATTGCCTCACCGCCATAATTAGTCAAGTAGCTGACGGAATTCACGACAGAACAGATTAGATACGGTACGGGTCATGACAACCCACATGGTATCACCGTTCCAAAGGGACGTTCATTCTCACAAAAGCTCAACCGCTAATTCTCCAGATAAATCAATAAAATCAATCGATTCTTT